GACCGCGAACGGCCACAGAAAATGGGGAGCAGCCGCATGGATCATGGACGTACGAGCGACGTCCATGACCATGCCAATGCGGCGCTCAGCAATCCCATTTTGCTGTGGGGAGGCCAGAAGCGTGAATGTCGGGCGGATGCCCTCCGCACGACAGAAAGCCCGCAGACGGTCGGAGGAGAACTCACCACCTCTGTCGGAGTGCAGACGCAGAACAGGAAGGTCCAAGCCGAAACTCTCGCTGAGCTGGCGACGGGCAGCGCGGATCCAGGTGATGAACACCTCAGTGATCTCACCCTTGCGGCGCAAGGGGAAGACTGTGGTGTAACGCGAGTAGTCGTCAACAGCCAACAGAAAGTAACGCTCGTGACCCTGTCCACCGACTCGGGCTGGGCCCCACACGTCCATGTGGAGAGTCTGCAGGGGAGCCTCCGTCGGAGGGAACTCGGAGGAGTGAGGAGCGGCGCGCTGCCGTCCCTCGACGCAGGGAACGCAGGTAGGGGCAGGCCTCGGTGGGAGGGGAGGGAGAGACCGGGGGAGACCAGAGACAAGGGTACGGGAGGCCATACCTCGGAGACGAGGCAGGGAGGGGTGACCAAGGCGGTGGTGCCAAAGGAGAGTCTGGTGTGACAGGGGACGACACGAGCAGGGCGCAGACTCCGGACCAGACCTGGACGCGGCAGCAAACACCTGACCAGACGCGGCTACCTGACCAGACGCGGCAACAGGAGGAGACGCAGTAGTCAGTGTGTACAGGCTCGACCCAGGCCGACGGGTGAACGTGGCCAGGTGGCGGCCCGTCCGAGTGCACGTACAGTGGGTCACACGCTGACCTCCAGGAGTGAACTGGTCAACCCACACGTCCTGGAGGTCAGCTCCACTCACCAAGTTCGTAGAGAACGAGGGGAGGTGAAGACCCGACAGTGAGCCCGACGGGGCTGCCGGACACGGCAGAACCGTGGAGGAGTGTGTAAGGACTGGGCCCCCAGAGGGGTCCGCCAGGGAGACTGCAACCGGCCGACTGAGCGGCGTGAGTGTGGTGCTGTTGCGAAAGAAGGAGCGGGAAGCACCTGAGTCAAGCGTGAAGGTGTGCAAGGCCTCAGCAGGCGCAGTACCAGAGAGAGCAGACTCACTAGCACCTGGAGCAGCAGACTCACTAGCACCTAGAACAGCAGCCTCAATGCCCGGGTCGGGCGGAACACACAGGTAACAGTCACCCTCAGCACTATCAGTCACAGCATACATGGCAGCAAGGATAGCATCGAAATCAAGATGAAAGATAGCAACACCAGACTTAAGCAGATCACCCCAGCGAGGGAGCTCAGCGGCGTCAGGAAACTGGGCGCGCCAGGCGTCAGATAGGCGACCGATGCAGCGCTGCGTAGTGTGTGGCAGCCCGCACGTCTCCCCACGGCGCCCGCCGGTGCGGAGAACGTAAGTGAAGGGACCAGCACCCCCAGACCTCCCACGCCCAGCGTACCACTCACGAAGCTGCTGGGGCGACGGGGTGGGGTCTCACGGGAACGCGGCTGCTGCTGGCGCTGGCTACCGCCAAAGCCTCCACGCTGCGCGGCTCCACCCCGACCAGCACCACCGCCGCCGCCACCTCCACTGCCGCTGCCCCTGCCTCCACCGCCGCTGCCGCTGCCTCCACCACCTCCACCGCCGCCACCGACGCCCCCACTCCCGCCACCACCCCCACCTCCACCCCCACCCCCTCCGCCTCCTCCACCGCCACCACCGCCGCCCCCGCCGTCCCCTCCACCACCCTTGCCCCCCTTGCCCTTGCCGCTGCGGCGCCTCCCACTAGGAGCAGACGCAGCCCCGACCTCCTCGGTGCCAACGAGGTCGACAGCAGCAGCAGAAGCAACAGAGGGCAGAAGGGGAACGGGGGAACACCCCTCAAAGAAAGGGGCGCGAGGGTCGCCGCGAGAAGCACCTACAGCAACTATGCTCTTCTCAGCTGCAGTGAGGCGCTCCTCTAACAGGTCGACGGTGAGCTCGGTGGGGCAAAGGGAGAGAAAGTGGTTCCTGACTTAGCAAAGAGAGTCAGGGAGACGGGTGACTAGGTAGAAGAGGGTGATGTACATGGGGGGGGGGGTTCTTGGCGCAGAACTCGGGGGGAAGCGCAGCGCGGTAGCGGGCGTCACTGGTGCGGAGGTGAGTAATGAGGTCAGCGACTGTGGCAAAGGCGGCCAGGTCAGGGAACAGGTACGGCAACATGAGGCGGCTGAGGGCAGCAGTGGCAGGGGAGGAGTAGCGCGCTACGACATCGTCATACAAAGACTTAGCAGTCTTGTACTGGCCAAAGTGCGTGCTCTCAGCAGACGGCAGGTGACTATGAACAGCAAGGCGAGCAACAGCGTCACGAGTAGTCCACTGCGAGCAAACCGTACTGTCAGCAGTGGCAGCAGGTGCAGCAGAGGCGCCGGACGTGTGATCGAAAAGCGAGACTCCGTCCCTAGAGTCGCACTGGAGAAAGAGCTGCAGGTCATCTACCCAAACGACGAAGTCAACCGCACGACCCTCAGCATCGAAGGTAAGAACAGTAGGGCTAGCCATGGCGGCAGTAGCAGCAGTAGCAGCAGGTGCAGCAGTAGCAGCAGAAGCAGCAGTAGCAGCAATAACAACGCGGGCAGGGCAGCGCGGCTCAGTAGGGCAGGGTGGCGCGGCTCGGCAGGGCGGCGCGGCTTGGCAAGGCGGCGCGGCTCGGCTGGGCGGCGCGGCTCGGCTGGGCGGCGCGGCTCGGCTGGGCGGCGCGGCTCGGCTGGGCGGCACGGCTTGGCTGGGCGGCGCGGCTCGGCAGGCAGGCAGGCGCGGATAGCGCGGGTAGGGCAGGTGCTCACCAGGGGCGGGTAGGGCAGGTGCCAGCGGTGGCGGGTAGGGCAGGCGCGCGACTGGCGCGGGTAGGGCAGGCGCTCGACGGGCGGATGCAGGCGCTCGACGGGCGGGTAGAGCCGGCTTTCGACGGGCGGGCAGGGCAGGGCCGCGACAGCGGGTAGGGCAGGGCCGCGACTGGCGGGTCGGGCAGGTCCGCGACGGGCGGGTTAGGCAGGGCCGCGACGGGCGGGTAGGGCAAGGCAGGCGCGTGACGGCGGCTGCAGATAGGGCAGGCGCGCGACGGCGAGGGTAGGGCGGGCGCGCTAACGCGCGCTTAGGGCAGGGCCGCGACGGGCGGCTAGGTCAGGGCCGCGACGGGCCGTTAGGGAAGTGCCGCTACGGGCGGCAGTCGGGCAGGGCGCGCGACGGCGCAGGTGAGGCAGGCGCGAGGCGCGCTTCGGGCAGGGCAGGAAAAACGAATCGTGGTGGGCCCTAAAAAAAACGTTTCCACTAGGGAACCTGCTCTGAAACCATGTCAGAAATAGGAAAGAATGATTGACTAGAATGACAGCAGTACAAGGTTTGTATAGCAAAACCTAATTGGGCTGTACCCCATAAGGAGTGCCCCACTACAGCCTAGAGCATAGTTCTGACACCCTCGACTACTGTAGCCTTGTTGTTTGCTCTTCTTGTTTTGCTTTTCTATATATCCTAGTGAACTCTTGAACTGGCCTTGTGGCCGCTTGCTTTGTGCTCAGAATTTGTGCGGTGTCCTTGAGATCCACCCTGAGCTTGCTTTGCTTCTTGTCTTGACTGGTCTTGTGACCGTTTGTTCACCCTGCTTGCTTTGATGCCCCTCACTTAACCTATGGGGGTGTGTCAAATGTTATTATAGGTTCTTAGGCTACAGTGAGTAGCACTCTAGGGAGTACAACCCTTTTAGGGTTGAATACTTGTATCCCATCTTGCTAGTCCCAAACCGTTTTGGGTTTTCACCACCTATTTTGGGGAGTGAATATAATGCAGTTCACAGTATCAGCGGCGTCGTAACGTTGACCACTTTGTGATGCAAACATGGCAAATCCCCCCCCTCCTCAGCCTCCCTCTCCCCCTCCCCTTCCTTCCACCCCTGCTGTTGCCCTTCATGTTTAAGGATAAGGATACTCATACATTCCCCCATACCATACCCCATCCCCCACATACCATTCGGCATGCCTACCATTTCCCCCATCCAGTGCACCATGCCACCATGCCCCCCAGCGGCACCCCCTCAAGCACCAGCAGCTTCTCAAGCACCCCCCGCCCTACCCGCCCCTCCTGCAGAAGTGGCAGGCGTACCTGATACCCCCCCACCCCCAGGGTGCAGTACGAGGGTAGGGTGGGTACAGGGCCGGGGCGGGCCATCATAGGCACCATGGCGGGGAACTGAACCACCTGGGGGGATGCACACTGCTGCTGTCATGCACACTGTGCACGCCCCTGCTGCCCCTGCTGCCCCTGCTGCCCCTGCTGCCCCTGCTGCCCCTGCTGCCCCTGCTGCCCCTGCTTCCCCTGCTGCCCCTGCTGCCCCTGCCGATGTGCATGTCTGCTGCCTCCTCCTGCTGTCCCTGCCCCTGCTGCTGACCCCGCTGCTCCCCTGCTGCTTCTGCACCCCCTCTGCTCCCTGCCACGCCTTGCGTGGCCTGCAACTGCGGTTGCAACTGATTCAGCATCTGCTGTGTCTGCTGCATCTGTGCGGGGCTCCTCTGCTGCTGTAGCACCTGCTGTAGCTGCACCAGCTGCTACACCTGCTCCGGCTGTAGCTGGGACTGCCCTACCCCCTGCTACTGCGGTGGCACCTGCTGCGGCCTCTGCCCTTCTGCGTGCCCCTGCCCTTGCGCCTGCGCCTGTCCATCCCCATCAACAGCCCCAGCCCTTCCTTCGTCCTTCCTTCTTCCTCCTCCGCCTCCACCTGCTCCTGCCCCTGCACCAACCCCACCCACTCCACCACCACCACCGCCACCACCCGATCCGCCACCAGCAGCAGCAGCACTGCCAGCTCCGTTATATTCATTAACGAATTGCAACCAAAGAAGGATCAGTACTACAGTAGTAACACAATAGCAAACTCAAAGAAATAACTAAACCTGGACCCCAGCTGCCCTTTACTTCGATTCCAAGCACTTCCCCAGCTGCCCTTCACTTCAATCACATTCTGCCTGTCCAGAAGCGACTGTGGCAGCACCTTTAGCCGCGAGCACCTGTCCAGATCCACCTCCCTCAGACAGGACAAACTGCCCAGATCCACGTAATCCAGTGCACCCTCGTAGCGAAAGCTTGACAAGGGACGGCAGGAGGGGGAGAGTGGGCGGAACGTGCTGCAGACCACGCAGGTGCTCGAGCTTCAGGGATGCGAGGTGGGAGAGGGAGGAGATGGAATCTGGGAGGCTGGTGATCCGGGGACAGTCAACGATGCTCAGGCATATGAGGGAGGTCATGAGAGTGAGGGAAGGAGGAAGGCCTTGCAAGTCCTTGCATGATTCAAGATGCAAGCTGAGAACCTTCAGCTGCCCCAAGTTTTCGGGCAGGTGGGTAAGCAGCGGGAGCGACTTGATGTCCAGCCGTTCGAGATTGGAAAGGTCGGAGAGGCAGGCAGGAAGGAGTGGCATGGCAGGGCACTCCTCTAGAACAAGTACTTTCAGCCCACTCAGATCACTCAGGTTATCTGGGAGCGAAGGCAACCTGGTATGGCTGATGTGGAGGCAGGTGAGAGAGGAAAGGAGCTCCAATCTAGCTTGCGCACTGGATTCGGGGAGCCTAGGACTGGTGATCTCAGGAGGAACATGAGGCATGGCTTCCCCCTCCCTTTCGGCTGGAATTTGGTACAAGGTAGGAGGGGCTATCAGCTGCTCGAGGGATTGGAGGCCGTGGATTTTCAGACTAGTGAGGCGGTTGAGAGAAAGAAAGAAGTATGGGAGGAAGCGAGCCTTCTCAAAGGTGTCTGAAATGGAAATGGAGGTCAGGGAGCGTGGAAGGGAGATGGGCACAGCATGAGGCACCAGCCTGATGGGCACAGCATGAGGCACCAGCCTGATGGGCACAGCATGAGGCACCAGCCTGACGGGCACAGCATGAGGCACCAGCCTGATGGGCACAGCATGAGGCACCAGCCTGATGGGCACAGCATGAGGCACCAGCCTGATGGGCACAGCATGAGGCACCAGCCTGATGGGCACAGCATGAGGCACCAGCCTGATGGGCACAGCATGAGGCAGGGGGTCGGCCGATCCAGTGAAGCACCAGACGATCTGGTCGCCAAATCTTGGCATGTAGCTGCAGTCTGCAAGCGTGAAATCCTCCAGCCTAGGCACCTCAGCAAGGCCCGCTGGGAGGAATTGCAGATTGCTGCAGCCAGAGATCTTGAGGCGCTGGAGCGATGGGAGAGGAATGTAGTTAACAAGATGGGCGTCGGGATCAGCAGCAGGAGGAGCACGAGCAGCAGCAATAGCAGCAGCAGCAGCAGCTTCGGCAGCTTCAGCAGAAGGGCCGGTTTCAAGGGTTTGAGCGAGAGTGGGCAAGAGCGACAGAAAGACCTGCAGATTCTTGCAGTTGGTCACCTCAAGCACTTTAAGGCTGGACAGATTACCCATGCCCATTGGTAACCCCTTTAGCAGCTGGCATCTGTCTATTATCAACTGCTCCAGACGGGTGAGATGAATGAAGGACCGTGGAAAACTAACAAGCCTACATGACCCGCGTAAGTCGGACTCGGTAACAGGCTCTGCTTCCGGATTCCTGGGACCAGAAGTTGAAAAAATGTCAACATCTAACCCTCTCCCGGTGTAAGAATCCCTGGTACCGATCTTTAATACTTTCAAGTTCCCAAGCCTCCAAACTCGTCAGGTAATCCCCCGATGGCACAGTTAAACAGCTCCAATCTACTCAGCTGCGGCAGCTTCTCAAACCCCGGAGGCAACTCTTCAAGATAGGGCGCACCATATATCTCCAGAGTTTCCAGTGAAGAGAGGTTGGAGAAGGAGTCTGGGAGGTAATCCAGGTCGTAGCACGCATGCACAATCAGCTCCCTCAGCTTCCCAAGCTGCCCGAAAGACTCGGGCAGATCCATGAGTTTGGAGCAAGACAGCTTCATAAAAGTCAAGTTTTGAAGCTGCCCAATGTCTTCGTGCAGCGCACTAACAGCACAGCCGTCGAGAACCAGGCTGGCCAGGGACCCCATGGCCGAAACAGACTGCGGGAAACCCTCCAAGTCGCAGCAGTCAACGATTTTGAGGCGACGGAGAGTCAGGCTGGCAGATAGGGAGCCTGGCAGTTGCGTCAGTCGCGAGCAGGTGTGAAGGTATAATTCCTGTAGCGCGGGCAGCTGGCCGATGCTCTCAGGTAATGCGGCCAATGCCATCAGTCCATTCAGCTCCACTGTGTCCAGATTGGGCAGTTGGTCAGCTGCGGGCAATGGCTGAGAGAAAGGCGCGAAAGGCTTGAAAGCTCGCAGATTGAATCTGGCAGCTCAACGACTTCTTCTAGAAACGAGAGGCTGATGATATTTAAATTCTGGAGCTGCCCCAATCTACTGGGCAGATGGAAAATGTGAGAGCCGCTGAAGGTGAGGCGCTCCAGCGAGCTGAGATAGCAGATGGGATCAGGTGACTCACGAAACGAGAACCCCGTATAAAGTCGCAAAACCTTAAGTCCTACCAGCCTGCCGAACTCCTCTGGTAACCCGGTAACGCATTTGCTTAGCTTCACGCTGAGCCTCGTGAGCTGCTGCAAACAGCTGATGGCAGCCGGAATCTCCTGAACGCCATCCAGCTGGAGATCGACCAATCGCGAGCAGGATTCGAAGATGGTGGCCACATCGGACGGTGCGAGGCTGGTCGACTGTTCATGGTCTCTGCTACGGCCGTGCTGCGTCGATCGCGAGAACCGTCGATCGTACAGGTGCATCGTGAGATGTGTCAGGGACGAGCCGCATCCGGCGCAAATGGATCGCAGGAGGTTGCTATCCATGGAGTCTAGCGCGAACTCGCCGAGATGCAGGTGAAGGAGATTCGGAAACCTAGATTTTGGTGGAGCGAGGAGGGAGGCGAAAGCTTGTGACGAGATGAAGCGGTTTCGAGGCACGATGATGGCGGGATGCACGGAGCTGGCGACGAGCAGCCATCGCTTGCAGACCAGAGCGTGGCGGAACGTGACTAAGGAACAAGTCTTGGAGGGAGGAACCTTAGTCGTGCCGAACCGCTGGCTCTCGCATGGCGGCGACTTCCGCAATGCATCCTCGATTTCCTTCTGAAGAACGTCTTCGTTATTAGCGAGCGAATCACTGCTGTCAAGATTCTTGCCGTTAGACGCAACAAAACGAAGGATCACACCCAAAAGGTCGTCGGAAATGCGGGAAAATATATCACCGATCATTCTCTGCTGCGTCACTGTAAACGGCTGGTTTGCAGCCTGAACAAAAGGCTGCTGAGATGTTTCCGCTGGTTTTTGCTTCATGTTCTCCTCAAATGCCAGCTGAGAGAAATTCTGAAGAGTGGTAAGGGCGTGTGAGAGGTGCTGCTCGTGAATGAGCGAGTTGCTGCTGCTGGTGCTTGTGAGTGAGTGCTTGAGAAGGCCTTGTTTGACAGGAACCAAAATTAGACTGGCGGGAAAGAGATGTGGCGGGAAATCAGGCTCGTCATACGTTCGCAGGCGACCAGGCTGGTTTGGAATGATGTGGTTCTCGTTGGCTTTGAATGGAATGGATTGCAGCTGGTCTGGCTTGGCGGAAATCAGGCTCGTCATAAGGTCGCAGGCGACCAGGTTGGTTTGGAATTATCTGGTTCTCTTGGTTTGCAGCTGGTTTGGGTTTGTATGATTGGTTAGGTTTCGCGGTTAGTGGTTTGGGACGAGTGTCAGATATGATTTTTTTGATGTTTTGAACCGAAACGCACCAAGCAAAACCGTGGTACGTGGATTGAAAAGTGAATTTGACCATGTGGCACCCCCTTAGGGAATGCCAGCAATGTGACGTACTGGTTCAGTCAGGTATTTTACGATTCGCAGCGTTTCTAAACGTTTTAGTTGCGTGACGAACCAGGCATCACGTTTGTCCCTTCTATGATGGCATGACAAACCCGTTCAGGAACCTTCAAGGTGCCATCAGAGAACACATCGCAAAGAACCTAATGAAACGCTCGAAAATGTACGCGAACCGCTTGTTGAGTTTGTATGTGGGTGGGTACTGAAAGCTCGTTTACTGTTCATGCATAAATCTTCAGGCTAGTAGCTAGCGGTTCAAACTGGTGAAACGCAAAGAGCCGCTTTGGATCAAGCATTATCGTTGCCAACCGATTTTGCTGAACAGAAAGTGAAATTTAGGGACCGGTCCTTCACAAACTGGTGTTTTCTCCTATGGACGTCTGAAACATTGAGTTGACTATGTGTGGTGAGTCCAGTTGACTAAAATTGTGTTGCTGCACCATTCAGTCAATAGTGGTGAATCAAAGCAGCACCTGCGGTCTTCGGAACTCGTTCGTACGTACCTTCTATAGACGTTCTCTCTTTCTCACTCTTCTCATGTCCCTTCTCAGTCCGTCGGAGGAGTCTCGCCGAGTATTTGGTTCGACCACTTTGCGACTTTAGGCTTTCCTTTCCGTTCTGACACAGCAAACGCGATGGCTTATGTGAAAAAGTGAAGTCGTTTTTATCTGAAGCCCTATCGGCCAGCGACTCGGCACCATGCCGCCTTCTTTCGAGTCGACGCAACGGCTACCACGCGCATTGCTACCAGCCATCGAGTCGGCGCAAAGGTTACGCGCGTTGTTACCGCGTAACATTCATCGCGCGATCTCCTCGCTCTACAACGCAAAGCGCGTTCCGCGGCTCTCGGGAGTGTTTCTGATCGCACTCGTTTCGTTATTCTCCTTAATCTCCTTCTCCCTCTGGCAGTCCAAGTGCTGCCGCTGCCTACACGGCAGCAAAGAGCAGACCCGCAGGAGAGGAATCAGCAGCAGTAGCAGCAGCAGCGGCGGCGGCGCGAGCAGCAGCAGCGACGGCGGCAGGGTTGGGTTCGATGGCTCGGGAGACATAGTCATCAGTAGCAACGTCGCGTCGGGTCGCGCGCTGCGTAACTCCACCACCGACGACGATCGACGGCCGTTCATCTACGTGTACGATCTGGGCCCGGCTTACACGGACAAGATTCTCCAGCTGGAGCCCGCGTGGTACTCGCAGCAGTACGACGTGGAGAAGCACATGACGGAGCTGCTTATAGCGAGTAACGCGGTGCGCACCATGGATCCGTACGAGGCGTCGCTCTTCTTCGTGCCGTTCTTCTCGGCGCGACTCACGCTGTACCATTTCAAGGACTGGGAGAACAACATGCGCGGCGCCGTGGAAGAGGCATCCAAGGTGCGCGAGTGAAGGTGGGGGGGAGGAGGGGGGGGAAGGGAGGATAGAATGAAGGCTGGCAGGTATTATGGCTGTGGGCTATGCGTCACGCTGTGGGAGAACAGCATGCGCGGCGCCGTGGAACAGGCATCCAAGGTGCGCGCATCAGGGGGAGCGAGGGGAGCGGGGGGAGGGGGGGGGGAGGGGAGCATGGGGGAAGGGGGAGCGGGGGGGAGGAGGGGGGAAAGTGGAGGGAAAACGGGGGGGGGGGCTGGAACAACACAGGAGGGGAGAAAAAGGAGAATAGTGGGGGATAGTGAAGTCAGGATCTAGAGTGTGCTATGAGCGCGAATCACGCTGTTCCTTTGCAAAGTTTGGGAGAACCATATGAGCGGCGCCGTGAAGGGGGGGAGGAGGGCTTAGGCATGCACGTACGGCTGTGGATTGTGCGTGCGTGCGGCTCATGCGCGGCTCATGTGGAAGATGCATCAAAGCTGAGCAAGTGAGGGGGAGCGGGGGGAGCGAGGGGAGTGGGGGGAGGGGGATAGGGGGGAAGGGTGAGCCGGAGGGGGACTGGGCGGTGGGGGGAAAAGGAAGGAGAGGGGGGAGTGGAGGAAGGGGGATAGGGAGGAAGGAGGAAAACAGTTTTATAGGGGATGCGCGGTGAATCTAGCCATGGTAGTATGCAATTTCCGAGGTGCATTCTGAAATTCCGAAGAGCCATGAACCATTCAACTCTTAAAAGTCGTAATTCTCCTTAAAGCCCATACCTCAACCCTTGAACCCTGTTGAATCTGCAGGTGTGGACGGAAATCCTCACCACAGTGCGCCGGAACTACCCCTTCTTCAACCGCACCAACGGCCGAGATCACTTCAGCATCCTCACGCTCGATCACGGCCGTTGCCACTCGCTCACGTTCGTGGACCCGGGCCTCGTGGGCGAGATGTTCTTTGTGACTTATAACGGGGACAAGCTTGTGAGGAGTGTGCACGCGAGCAAGGAGCGCAGCATGCAGGTGAGAGCAGCAAAGCCCCTCTTTCTCCCACCCCTTTGAAATCTCCTCTCCCCCCACCCCCCCTCCGCCGGTATCCCTTTCTACAGGTTGGGGGTAAGGTAAGTGGCCTGTCTCACTCCGTATGTTCCTTGTCCGGCCGGACCAGGCCTGTGTGCCTGTGCCTGTGCCTGTGCCTGTGCCCGTGCCTGTGCCTGTGCCTGTACAGGCTTGTCTCACTCCCCCCGTTTCCTCCCTCCTCCCCCTCCCCTCCCCTCCCTCCCCTCGTGCTTTTCGTCAAAAAACGGCCACTGGTTTCCCCATGCGAGGGTAACCCCTCTCCATGCAACCCCCCTTGCTCTTGTGCCTCTCAGGTTTCTCACCCTGCCTCCTCCCTTTCCCTCCCTCCCTCCTCTCCCCCCCTCACATACAACTACAGGATCCCAGTGGACCCCTCTCTGCCCAAGGGGATGGCTGACGCTTCTACCTTCCTCCATCCATCCCTACCCCCCTCCCCTCCAGGCCATAACATACAACTACAGGATCCCAGTGGACCCCTCTCTGCCAGACATCCCCTGCTACCTGCCGGATCGAGACATTGTCGTGCCCGTGCTCGTGGCCAAGGGGCTGCCACTGGTGGCGCCGTGGGAGGGCGAGAGGGACCGCACCGTGCTGTTCCGGTTTGGTGCGGGGCAACATCACGGGGTGCCGATTTGGCATCACGGGCATCAAATACGCAAGGAGTTGCTGGAGGTGAGCTTGCTTGGAGGTGCGACGGGGTTGAGTGGGGTGGGGGTGAGGTGGGTTTTTTCTCTTTCTGGTTTCCCAGCGGGAGGATTAGAGGGGCGGTTCTGTGGGAGGGCGAGAGGGACCACGCTGTGCTGTTCCAATGAGTTGGAGGTGAAATGGGGTTGCGCTGAGGTGAGCTGGAGGGATGGGACTGTGCAGGGGACGAGGAGGGGGGGAGGACGGATCCTGACTGGAAGCATGCCAGCCTGCCTGCTGACTTTTGTGACGTCTCAAAAGTCGCTGAGGTGAGCTGGAGGGGTGGGACTGTGCAGGGGACGAGGGGGGACGGATCCTGACTGGAAGCATGCCAGCCTGCCTGCCTGCCTGCTTGCACTTGCTTCTCCTTCATCTTTCCTCTCTCGATTCGTCCCGCCCCCTCCCCCCCGCCCTTCCTGCCCCGTTGCTCAGATGTACACGCATACAGGGTACGGAGGGTGGGACTTTGCAGAGAAGGGCGAGGGGGAGACCGACCCTGACTGGCACACAGGAAGACAGATTTTGCCTTTCTCTTTCCTCTATCCATTCCTGCACCCTCCCTTCCCTCCCTCCCTCTCCCCTCTCTCCTCCCCATCCTTCCCTCCCCGATACTCAGCTGTACACGCATGCAGGGTACGAGGGGTGGGACTTTGCAGAGAAGGGCGAGGGGGAGACCGACCCTGACTGGCGAAGAGCTGTCTTCTGCATCTGCCCGCCCGGCCACTCCCAGTGGACCAGCCGCCCCTTCAAGGTGGGAATGCCTACAGTAGTAAATAGCTGCAGTAGTGTACTGAGTCTCTGAAGTTGTAACATTTTTTTTCTCGCAATTGTTCCAGTCAGTGTACAACTTGTAAAGGTAAAAACGCTGGTTGCTTGTTTTGTCGTTTTAACTTGGTTGTTTTTGTTTTATTTTCTTATTTTGTTTTTGTATGTTTGTATACTTTACAGGCATTGGTATCTGGGTGTATCCCGGTGACGTTGTTCCGAGAGCACGGCAGCCCATTCTTTATTATATATATTTTCTTTTTTATATACAGGCATTGATATCCGGGTGTATCCCGGTGACGTTCTTCCGGGAGCATGACAACCTGTGGCAGGACGAACTACAGTATTCCTCTTTCTCAATCAACATTCCCCCCCTTCCCTTCCCCTCCCCCCAACCCAACCCCCACCCCCACGCCAGGCGCTCATCTCAGGGTGTATCCTGGTGACGTTCTTCCGGGAGCACGACAGCTTATATATTTTTCTCTTTTTTTTTTAATATATATTACAGGCATTGATATCCGGTTGCATCCCGGTGACGTTCTTCCGAGAGCACGACAACCCCTGGCAGGACGAACTAGAGTATTCCTCCTTCGCCATAAACATCGACCCAGACAACATATGGCAGCTCAAGGAGCGCATTGACGCAGTCAGGAACCAGCCGGAGCTGCTTCAGAGGATGCAAAAGAACGTTGTCCGCGTGCAGGTGCGTGTGTTGTTGGGTGTGTGTGTGTGTTGGGGTGTGTGTGTGGTTCCCTCGGGTGCAGATGCTTGTGTGTGTGTGTGGTTCCCTCGGGTGCAGATGCTTGTGTGTGTGTTGGGTTCCGTTGGCTGCAGGGCGAAGGTGTGTGTTGGGGGGGTGTTGAGCGCAGTCAGGAACCAGCCGGAGCTGCTCCAGAGGATGCAGAAGAACGTTGTTCGGGTGCAGGTGCGTGTTGCATTGCATTGCATTCCGTCTTTGCAGCTATTGGAGTATTGTGATGGGAGCAGTGTTATAGTCCATCCATTCATACCAGGTTACTATTAGGTAGTTGGGAAATGGTAATTTCGGAAGTCGTGATTTTTTTCTCTGTTTCTGGAAATGTCCCCCGCATGCAGGAATTGTTTCGGTGGACGGGAGCACTGGATAGGTCGGCAGAGTCTATGCTTATCCGTCGGTTACGAAAACGAGCGGCTGATCTTCGACCGTTTCAATTGCAAATGGCCAGAGAAAGAGGAATTGATGAGAAGCTTCGTATGACTGGCCTGTAGTATAGGAGTTGTTATTTCACGCTGCAAATAAAGGGGTTGAATGTCCAAATGTTAATGGCAAGCTTTCCTTTGTAGAGGTACCGCCGAAGTAGAAACATCAACTGAAATTCGAGACTACGAGTTACATTGAAACGTGGATGGAGAAGTGTCCAGGTACCGTCAGGTGTTTCTTTTGCTGCGGGTTGGTGTTTTGTCCGGCATGGGGATGCGAGGTTTTGTAACCCACCTTGGTTGGCTTACATGTGGTTTTGGAAATGACGAAAGCTTTTGTCGTGGTTTGGGTTGGGCTGGAAGTGTGGTGTGGCAGGCAGGCGGGTGGTTGGACGTGGTGGTGAGGTTGGACGTGGTGGTGGTGGTGAGGTGCGCAAGTGCAAACCCAGCGGCTCGCATGTCACAATTGTCATGTCGAAGAAAAGACAGTTCAATCCTTCGTCTTGTACGTCGCTCGCGACGGGATGTACGTCGTTACGTGAGTTCAGCTCGTTGAGATCGTTCGGCTACTGTTTGTCCGCATCAACTTTTTTGGTTCATGACCGTACATGTCCAGAAAAGCTACTGTACTGTATTTCTGGGGCGTGGCAGGCAGTCCCATCCAGGGCGGGCAGCTCACAGGGCAGGTTTTAGCGTCGCCACGACCACCACTGGCGTAGCTGAACAGTTCTGTCACGTCGCAGCTCTGTGCAATCACTTGCCCAGAAATCTCTGTGAACATGTGAAGGGTCCGGTCCGGTCCGGTCGAAGTGGCAGTTCCAGAAGCCTCGATGTGTATCAGCCTCGGCTTGGACTTGGGGAGGGGAGCCGGCCCGGAGCCGAAGGTGTTGCCTTGAAAGCATGCGAACCAAGCGACCAGGCTCGCAACTGGACCAAGCGCCCAGGCTCGCAATTTTCAGCCACACCTCTTCGTTTGGTACGGAACCCACGTCTTTGACCTGTGGGAGTGGAAATACATCCTGACAAAGTGGATATAGGGGTCTGAAGTGCGTTTCTGTGGGGCGGGAAGAGGCGAAGAGATGTCAACTGTTGCACAGTGCAAAGAGAGCAGCAAGTACCCCACTAAGTCCCAAAGAAAGCAGTCACAGCAGCAACAGCCCCGCAGAGAGTTAGGTTAGGAGGTTGGTGGTTGTGTGTATTTCGCGCAAACGAACCTAATTTGCTGCTCTACTTCGTTTCATTTCGTTTTGACCTACGCGGCGTGGGAGTTTTTACTGGGTCTAGTGCAATCGCGCCTCGCTTTACTGCTCTCGACGTCTCTATCATTTATACAAGCGGCGTCAATCACCGCGCCTTAGTCGGTTCCTCTTGGGTACCAGCTTCCTCTTTTCTTCGTATCTATAGCGAGGTTGCCAGTCTTTGCCGTGCACTGAAGCGTCGTCACGACGCTTGCGGGATCTCGCTTCTGAGATTTCTCAGAAAACGAGTCGCAGATACCTGACTGTCGCCACAACTCCCTCCGCGTCGCCCCTCATCCCTCGTCTCGCCTCTCGCCTCCGACCCGTCGCCTATCGCCGTCGCACACCGCACGTCGCACGTCGCACGTCGCACGACGCTCACCGCGCCGCTTCGCAAGCATTACTTGCGATAACCATGTTCCTCGGAATCGCGCAATCATACTCCAAGCTCAACCTCCCCCCCATGATACTCCCGCCTGGCCTTTACAAAAAAGTGACAATGCCGCGTTTGACTTCGCTCATCAAGCTCGTAGGCCTCGTTATGTGCACCGCCGTTTGTGTCACAATTTTGAACTCCAGCGGCTGCTGGTGCTTTAACAGAGGCTCCGTGAGCGGATTGAGCGCCGGTGCTAACGGCGAAGCAGCGAATGTCGTTTCGGAAAGCAGTCCGCTGTTTCGCTCATTGCGTGACGTAAAAAACGCGGATACGAACGATGGTAGCAGCAGCAGTGGTAGCAGTGATAGCGGTAGCAAGCTCCGAACCTCCCAGCTTATGGCGCCCGCTGGGTCTGGTTTAGGTTCGGTAGTTTCCGATCCAGGTTCGGACGATCGGCCGTTCATCTACGTGTACGAGTTGGGTCCGGAATACACGGAGAAAGTTTTGGAGTTGAACCCGTCGTGGTACAGCCACCAGTACGACGTGGAGCGTTACATGACGAATGTCATCCGGACTAGTAACGCCGTACGTACGGACCACCCGGAGCAAGCAACGCTGTTCCTAATCCCTTTCTTCGCGGCGCGTTACACGCTGTACTGCTTTCGGTCGTGGGAGAACAACATGCGGCAGGCGATCGAGGAAGGTTCCAGGGTACGTTCCAATCACTTCCAAGAACTCTTCAAAGTTCTAGGTTCTGAGTTGTGGAACTCTTAGAAGCGGCTTCTTGTCGTTTCTTGTCCTGTCCGCCGCGTGATTGACCTCGGTTAGCAGCACCCGTTTCGCTTTTCGGCGTCCCCAGATTCCGCTCCCCCGTCAGTTCCCGCCCCCTCCCCCTTCCCCCTTCCCCCTCCCTTTCTACCCCCCCTCTCTTTCCCCCTCCCACTCTCCCGTTCTCCCCGCCCCCTCCCCCCTTCCCGCCAGCCTTCCGCCATCTGATTCCCCCCGTCCGTTCCCCTTGAGCACTGTTCCCCATTTGTTTTTCCTATTCCCCCCGTTTTTCCTACTAACAGATATGGGAGAAGCTTATAACGAGGGTGAGGAAGGAGCACCCGTACTTCAATCGAACCAACGGACAAGATCACTTCGCCTTTGGCACGCTCGATCACGGCCGTTGCCACTCGCTCACGTTCGTGGACCCGCGGGTGTACGGCGAAATGTTCTTTGTAACTTTAAATGGCGACAAGCTGGTTCGCAGCACGCATTCCAGCCAGGGGCGAAACATGCAGGTAATGTTCGCACAAGTGTTTTGCTGTTGTTGTTCTTGCTGTTGTTGTTTTATCTTGTTTTGTTTTGTTTTGTTTTGTTTTGTTTGTTTGTGTTTGTTTGTTTTTGTGTGTTTCGTTATTGGCTGCCTCAATAATCATCCCCGCCCCACACGAAACGTGCAGGTCATTTCGTACAACTACGGTGCGAAGATCACGGATCCGACGGTTCCCGACATCCCGTGCTACGTGCCGAACCACGACATCGTCGTGCCGGCGCTGGTCGCGAATCGGCTGCCCATCGTGCCGCCCTTCGAGACGGAGCGTGAGATCAAGGTGCTGTTCCGGTTCGGCGCGTCGCAACACCACGGCGAGCCACTGAAGCACCACAACCGCGACATCCGGAAAGAACTGATCGAGGTGGGTGGGTTGGAGTGGGAGGGGGAAGGGGGGAGGGGGAAGGGGGGAGGGGGGAGAGGGGAGGGGGGAGGGGGAAGGGCGGAGGGGGGAGGGAAAAGGGTGCTATCTTTTGAAGCGCCTCAAAAGATCAATGTGCTCCTTTGGTCCGGCTGCCCATCGTGCCGCCCTTCGAGTCGGAGAGGCGGCGAGGCGGCGAGGCGGCGAAGGGCAATGTTCGGATGGCAGGGAACAGCGCGAGAGCAGGGCACGAGGGGTGGGGCTTGGCAGGGAAAGGCGAGTATGAAACGGACGAGGAGTGGAAGAAGAGGGGGAATGTGCTTGAAAATTTCTCCCTGCCTCTCCGCCACATATGTCTGCTTCTCCGCTCTCCCACTCAAGGTTGAAAAATTCTCCCTGCTCCATCACCCGTCTCCCCCGCCCCTCCTTCTATCCAGATGTACAAGAATGCGGGGCACGAGGGGTGGGACTTCGCGGAGAAGGGCGAGTATGAGACGGACGAGGAGTGGAAGAAAAGCGTCTTCTGCATCTGCCCGCCTGGCCACTCTCAATGGACCAGCCGCCCCTTCAAGGTGGGTTGTGTGTGGATCATACAAGTCAATGAAGTCAATCGAGTCAATGCCACTCCCAGTGGACCAGCTGCCCCTTCAAGGTGGGTCATGTGCGGCTGGCTGGTGGCTCCCAAACCTCTTAAAGGGGAGAGGAAGACGAACAAGGAGTGGAAGAAGAGTGTCTTCTGCATCTGCCCTCCCGGCCACTCCCAGTGGACCAGCCGCCCCTTCAAGGTGCGAGTGGGTGTGGATGCGTTGTGATGTATTGGTAGCTTCCCAATCTCTCAAGGGGGATTTGACTTTTGAGTCGACTCAAAAGTCATGCGTTGTGTGTGTGGGATTGGTAGCTTTCCAATCTCTCAAGGGGAGTGGAAGAAGAGTGTCTTCTGCATCTGCCCGCCCGGCCACTCCCAGTGGACCAGCCGCCCTTTCAAGGTGCGAGGCGGAGTGCGGCCACGACAACCCCTAGGGCGATGACCTGGGCTGAGCGATGAGCTGAGCTTGAGCGATGAGATGGGGGTTGATGAGCTGGCCTTCTTGCGCTTCCGTGTTTCCGATTTTTGAGGCGCCTCAAAAAACAACCCCTAGGGCGATGAGCTGGGCTGGAGCGATGAGCTGGGCTTCTTGCGCTTCCGTGTTCCCCCCCATCACCCTCCCTCTCCCACCCACACTCATTCATTCCCCTCCCCTTTTTCCCCATTTCCCCCCCTTCCCCCACCCTCCCCAAAACCAGGCGCTCATCTCGGGGTGCATCCCAGTGACGTTCTTCCGCGGGCACGACAATCCCTGGGACGACGAGCTGGACTGCTCCACCGTGTTCCCCCAAACATGCCACCTCTCCCCCCCCACCCACTCCCCTCTTCCCCCAACCATACGCTCATCTCAGGGTGCATCCCAGTGACGTTCTTCTGAGGTCATGACAACCCCTGGACCCAACTCGTTCGTATTCACCCACACATGCCACCCCTTCCCCCCCACTCCTTCCCCTCTCCCCCCAACCCCAACCCCAACCCCAACCCCAACCCCTCAGGCGATCATCTCAGGGTGCATCCCAGTGACGTTCTTCCGAGGACACGACAACCCGTGGGACGACGAGCTGGACTACTCCACCGTGTCAGTTAACATCGACCCGGACGAGCTGCACACGCTCAAGGAGAGGCTTGACGCCGTTCCCATCAAGAAGCTGCAGCGGAACATTGAGCAGATTCAGGTGGGTGTGTGGGTGGGTACGAGTCGATTTGTATTGTTTGCATGAGGAGGAGACACGACAACCCCTGGGGCGACGAGCTGGACTACTCCACAGTGTCAGTCAGCATCGACCCGGCCGAGCTGCACACGCTCAAGGAGCGGCTTGACGCTGTGCCGATTAAAAAGCTGCAGCGCAACATCGAGCAGATTCAGGTGGGTGTGTGGGCGGGTACGAGTCAGGTTGTATGTATGCATGAGGAGGAGTCACGACAACCCCTGGACTATTCCACCTGGACTATTCCACCTGGACTATTCCACCTGGACTATTCCACCTGGACTATTCCACCGTGGCGGTCGACATTGTTAGATGTCCGGGATTTTATTTGATGGGGCGCCGCGCCAGTCACAACGCTGCAGCAATACATCCATTGAGGAGATTCAGGTGAGTGGGAGCTTTCCATGCAGGGTAGGCGGAATGTTCCACTATTTTCCCCTTGCCCCTTCCTCCCCCTCTCCACCCCTTTTGTCTCTCTCTCCGCATTGAACCCCTCCCCTCCTCACCTCTTTTTTACCCTGTCCCGTTCCCCTCCTGTAACAGGAGGCTTATCGGTGGACGGGCCTGTACAATAAAGGAGCAGAGGCGATGCTTATAAAGAGGCTGAGGCAACGAGGGAACCAGCTTCAAGCAGTGGAGCAGCGGAGGTTACGTGCCCTGCAATAATGATAAATGACGATGAGGATGAGGGCAGGCGTGGGATGAGTTGTGGCACGTGGGAGGCTGGTGTACAATCATTTCAGGCCGTGGAGCAGCGGAGGTTACATGCCCTGCAATGATTACGACGACGATATGGACAGGGCGGCACGGAAGGTGCCTCAGGAGTCAACTTCTGAGGCGCCTCAAAAGCAGCGGAGGTTACCTGCCTGCCCTGCAATGATGACAATGATGAGGAGAAGGGCGGACACGCCGGCTTCTGAGGTGCTTCTGAGGTGCTTCTGAGGTGCTTCTAAGGTGCTTCTGAGGTGCTTCTGAGGTGCTTCTGAGGTGCTTCTGAGGTGCTTCTAAGGTTCTTCTGAGGTGCTTCTGAGATGCTTCGGAAGCAGTGGAAGCAGTGGAGGTTACGTTAGGGCGTGTAAAATTGTAACGCCCAAACCAAATGGTCGATCAATTGCTCGTTGTAACGCGTACGCCACAAGGATGAAAGAGCAGCTTGCTTGGGCTATGTGTTGGAGAGAGCGTTGTTTGGTTGGTTGTTTCTGTTCTCAAAGATTGAACAGCGGAATGAATGCATTAGGGATGGGAGCAGTACAAATAGCAACCCTAGAAATGTGTTGTACTCCCTACAATGCTACTCACAGTAGCCTAACAAGACATTATGACATTTGACACATCCCCATAGGCTAAGTGAGGGGCATAAAAACAAGCAAGAGAAACAACGGTCACAAGACCAGCTCAAGAAAAGCAACAAAAACAAAGCTGAGGGTGGATCACAAAGTCACCACACTGTCCGAGCACAAACAGGAGGCCACAAGGCCAGTTCAAGAGTTCACAAGTATATAATGAAACAACGACAAGTAGAGCAAAAAACAAGGCTACAGCAACCGAGCACCAGCGTCAACAAGGCCTAACTGCAGACAGAACATGTGGTGGTCACTAGGCGCTAGGGCCTTGGTGAAAATGTCTGCTGTGTTGGCGGCTGAGGCCACGAAGGCCAAGCGAGCCTAGCCGCGTCGCTGCAACTCTCGCAGGAGAAAGTACCTCACGTCGATGTGCTTCACTCTGCCCTCCAGTCGAGGCTCTCGACAAAGGAGGATCCTGGCCTTGCTGTCAGCGAACAAGGTCGGTGCAAAGCGAGGCCGCTCACCAAGGTCAGTGAGCAACAAAGTCAACCAACGAAGCTCTTGCGCAACCATGGCTCCAGTTGTACTTTGCTTGTACAGTGATCTATATATATATATATATATATATATATATGTATATATACCTGCATGCTTGCTCCTGCTAGGTAGTGATCACTGTGTTGCTGTTGTTGCATATATACCTCTGCATGTGAACTGGCCTTGTGGCCCTCTGCTTGTGCTCAGTGTGTGTGGTGACGTTGTGATCCACCCTGAGCTTGCTTTGCTTTTCTTAACTGGTCTTGTGACCCCTTGCTCTTCCCCGCTTTGCCTATGGGGGTGTGTCAAATTATCTATGTGCTACATATGTGTAGGCTGTAGTGGGGTAGCTAATATGGGGTATAGCCCCTTTAGGGTTTCATACTTGTACCAAACTTTGACCTAGTTCATTCATTCCTGCTAGTTGATTTTGACATGATCCATGCGACCAATGCGGGTGGAGCGCAGCACGCGTCCGTGGACGGAATGCCATCGGATCAGCTGGCGAGACTGGGGGGATGGCGCTTCATAGATGTGATGACTAAGCACTACCTCACCACGATCCCGAAGGAGGCCGTGCTGCTGAATTCGGGGTTCACAGGGGTTGACGGTGATTACTACCTGGGTCGCGCAAAGGTTCCGGTGAGCGAGGAGCTGATGAAGCTACTGAGGGAGCACATTTTTCCTTGGGCCGCGCCTGAGTAAGGACAGAAACAGGTACGTTTGGGCCGCGCACCATTCTGAAAGACGACCGCGAGCATGCCTCATAACCCTCTGCCACCGCGTTCCTTGTCGCGTTGTGTTTTTTTTTGCCAACAGTGCATGGATTACAACCGGAAGATGGTCGGCGAGGACAAGGCGGAGAAGCAGGACACCGCGGGACTCAACATACTGCGACAGCTGGACGGCGAGGCTAGGATGGCGGTCGCGCAAGGCCTGGCCATGTATTACATTCACCAGCCGCGACACCTGTACGTGGTCGGGAACCCGCTATGCCAGAAGAAGGAATTCACGTCCTGGGATGCAGATGTCTCCTTGGCGAACCAACTGGCCATCGTACAGCGTAACACACCTACTCTGACTAGAGGCGCGGTGAGTACTACGTGATCGCGTTAGTAATTCGGCTGTATGTCAATGCCCAACCATCACACGTTTGCTCGCGCTCTCTGTCCATGCAGGAGGTCAGCACTAGAATGGACGCGCAGCATCAGGTGACCACCCTCACGGAGTACCTGATCCGTTCACAAGCGGACAACTCCAGGCTGGGCCTAGAGTTGGTCGCGACTCAGAAACGGGTCACAGAGCTAGAGGGGGAGTTGGCCGATCGCGACCGAAAGCTTATCGCGAAGGACGAGCACGTGAATGATTTGGATGCACAGCTGTCGCGTCTCAGCTAAAAACGGCTCGGCGCCAACCGCGGATCCGAGTCCGGCAATCAATCCCAGAGCCGCGGCCACGCCCACCAATGCCACAACACCCACCGAATAGACTATACGAAAGAAACCCGCACCGCCAACCAGGGACGAGACGATTCGGGACGCGATCGTGCTCCCATGGGTCCAAGCGACCAAACTGTCGGACGGATGGAAGCTGTACAAGTCCATGCATCCGCTTATCCTGGAGAGTCCTGAATCGCTGCTGGTGAACCGCGGTGCAGGTTAGCGATTTCCCGAGCTCATTGGAAAGGAAGGAGGCGGCCAGAACGCGATAAATCGTGTCAAGCAAGTCATGGACTTCATCGCGCACAGGGTGGAGCAAGGAGACGACATTGCGGTAGTGCTCGACAAGCTCGACCGTGTGTCGGGGTCTGTGGGCATGTCCGGACTGTCGGAAGGGACCGCGTTGAAGAAGAAGAGTGTGGATTTGAACCTGAGCCAGCTCAAGAAGGGGTCCTCGGCGGAGGTGCAGTTGCGCGTGAAATGGATGCTTGTTCGCGACCATCTCATTGATGCCTCTCTTCCCGCGTCTGAGTTCACGGTCGCGTGGCCATAGTACTGTGCAATGATGCCTGACTTGCAATAAATGGTGGATTGGATCCTTTGATGTTCGCGTTGGGTGTACAGCCTATGGGTGCCATATTATGAGTACGTTGTGTCGTTCGCGTTAGTTGTTGTTTTGCATAACCGTTTACTTGATTCTTCCAAATGTTACAATTGCGTAAAATGATGATGATTTGGTATCATTTGTTTTACCACCGCGTTCGATATGTACATGATGATTGGCTCGCTAGTCCGATGGGAGATATGTAGTTAGGTGTATCGCGATTGAACAGCTCGCGGAAACAATGAGTAGAGTAAGTGAGTTTTGACCGCGACAGGAGAAGGTTGCTGACCGCGGAACGAGAGCTTCGATACAAAAGTAGTTGAAAGGAGAGCATTACGACAATAGCATCCGTGTTGTCAACGCGGATGAAGCATGGTTAAGGAAATGGACTAAACAGCATAGACAGAATATCCACCGCGAGTAAAAACTCAAGCAGGGTGGACATACTACCCACACTAACAAGGGTCTCATGCAACTACACGAACAAGAGTCTAGAGCACCACATGTTTCCCACCGCGAGTAAAACTCCAGCAGGTGGGACAAACTAACTACACATTCATGCGGACCTCTTCTTCGCGGACAGTCGCTTATCAGGAAGAGCGAGGTAGAGCTCGTTGACCTCCATCATCTTGGCCGCGACCTTGCAGTTCGCTCTAGGTCATCAGCACGTCTACTGCCTCGTGCGCGACCATAGCAACCAGAGTGGGGTCCCCAAGGCGCGCTCCAAGGCGGTTCACGACCGCAGACTCGATAGCCTCCGCGACCTGCTTCGGCGTTACCTCGGTGGTGTGCGCGCGTGCATTCTCCTTCCTGGCCCTCTTGAAGACCGCGGTCACAATAGCGACGAAATCGCGGGCCTTCTCTTCGGGGGCGCCTGCAGACTGCGCCGCCACGTATCCAGCATTCACGATTCCGTCCAGATCAAGACCGTTGCAGGTCTCCCACACCATCGCGATCGCGCACGCGACCGCACCGGCAAACAGACCCTCCTGTGCCCCGGCGACATCAGGCTCTTCGTCTGCCGCCTCCCTCCCCACCACAGCTGCCCATGCGACCGCGTTGCCGAGACTGGTTGTGGGGCGGGTGAGGTCGCGGTATGCCTTGAACATGTGACGGTACCTGCATAAGTGGGTTAATGCATGACATGGTTAGCCGCGTATTTGATCGCGTACGAAGCATGTTTAACAACAGATCATGATCATAAGCGTACCTGTCAACGTTGCCGCAAAGGTTTCGGAGATGCATGGTCGCGAAAAGCCCGGTGCTCATCTCATCGGCCGCGGAGATGTCCTCGGCCCAATTCCTTAACTGCTGCGCTGGCAGCTTGAGACCGTGGTCAACCCTCTTGTCGTAACACATCACTGCGATAGCGGTCAGGTACTGCACCTCTTGGAGTGAGTGATGACCCAGCCAGCGACGTATCCCCCCAAGCCACGGTTTGCCGACCATCCCCTCTCCACCCCTGGGCGGAGGGCGGATACCACAGCCCTTCCTCTTGCCGCTAGTTCCGCCGGTCTCGCAGTGCACACTGAACCTTTGCAGCACCAGCTCAACATCATCATCCGCGTCCGAGTCGTCGTCGTCGTCGTCCAGTTTGAGCGCGGCTGGAGGAGGCTTACAACCACCGCGACCCTGACTCTTCGCCTTGAGTGCCACATCTGCAGCGGGGGGGGTTGCAGGGGAGGTGGAGCTGGGTCCAGGCTGTCCAGTAGCGATCGCGGCGGGGGTACTTGCCGCGGGCACGAGCGCGGTGGTGGTGGTCGCGGTGGTGGTGTTTGCCAGCGGGGCTTCCTCGACCTTGGCCTTGCCCTTACCAGCTACCACTGCCGCGGGAGAAGAAGGTGGTCTCGCAGCAGCATCCCCCCTGGTGGTTCCCCTCTGGACCGTCCCTGAACGCAGATCGACGGTGCCCCCCTGGCTCTTCAAGATCTCCGCGACACTGGGAACCGCGGGACCTTTCTGCCTCTTTCCTCCCCTGCTGCTTTCAGCCTTCCCCGTCTCCTTCTCCGCGGCTCTCTTCCCTGTCTCCTTGTCCGCTACCCTCTTCCCTGTCTCCACTTCCGCGACCCCGTCCGACACCTTCTCCTCCAGCCCATCCGTCCCCTGGCGCAGACCGGAAAGCATGGCGATGACGGTGTTGAGAGCGTTGGTCATGCCGCTTGTTGTGATCGCGCGTTCAGGGGTGGCCACAATGTTGGACGACGCGCCGTCTATCTTTCGCGCGACCTCGTCCGTCAACTTCTTCTGTGCGGATTCCATGGAGTCCACGACAACTGCCTTCAGGTTAGCCGCGCCATCTTCCAAGCGAGCCGCAGTACGTTTCAGCACGTCCCGCAGGTCGCGATTCTCGGCCATGTCCTTCGCGGCCGCCTTGGCTTCCTTGAGTATCACCCATTCCGCGTTCTGCATATGAAGTAGCACCTTCTCCACAGTGCCCACGAGATCATCGTAACTCTGCGTGATCACCGTCGCTGCTTCCTGACCAGGCTTCGCGGACACGGCTTCCTCAAGCTTGGCGAGTCGGCGCTTCTGTGTCCGCACATGCTCGTCCAGGCGGAGAATTTCCGCGGCCAGCTTACCGGGATCAATCTTCACCAGCTCGTCGTATTTCCGTTTCCCCGCGACCGGGCTCTTGCCCGCACCCTCGCACGAAGGGGCCGCGCTTCCAGGACGAGGGGACAACGCAGCAGTGAGACGGCGAATACTCTTCCCTGCTCCAGCGACCGCGACCGCAGCCCCATGCCCAGCCCTGGTGTTCTCCGCGACCTCCTCCACCTCCTCCTCTTCCTCCTCGTCCTCTTCCTCCTCCACGTCGTCCGACCCCTCCAGCTCCAATTCACCGCCCTAGTTATCCATCGCGGCATCATCACGCTCCTCGGCAGACCCCTCATCCGCTGCGCGACCCTGACCATCGGCACCCTCCGACGCATTCACGTCACGTCCACCATGAGGCGCGGTCTCAGGGGCATCCTTGTTGCGGTCAGAGCTCGAGCCCTCGTTCTTGTTGTCCGGAGCCCCCTGATCCGCTGCGGCCTCCTCCACGACTGCGGCGTTCGCGAGCGAGTAAGCAGTTGTGATCGCGAGGGCTTCGGGAACAGAAACGTGCGATCCGGCGGCATGATCGTGCGACCTCCCGCATTCATTACCGTGTGCTTCCCCACCGTGACCGTCCGCAAAACCGCATCTAGACTTGAACGCGTGCTCCTCCGCGGCGCGTTTCGCATCCTGCCGCAATGTAGTCAACGTCCTTTGGATGGGTTTCGCGATGCGCGGCGTATGGTCGTGTACAACAACCGCGTCGAGTTCGTTGAGGATTCTGTCAAACGCGTAGCCACACGCGATTGGCCCGCAAGAGGTCTTCCAAGACGAGATATCCTGAAAGGAAGCCGCGGAAAGGAAGTGTATGGTTAAAGAAAATTTGTGCTGCCGTTTTAAATACCGCGACAAAACATACGCGAACAGGGCATTGGCTCACCAGGTCAACGAGATGAATCGAATCTCCTAGGTGCCCCGACTGGACACACTGGACGGAATCGCGCTCGAAAGCCTGGCAAACGCGACCCTGAAACCACCTGAATACATAGATGGATAGCATCGCAGTTAAAATAAGGACATATATATAAGAGCAACTAGACACAAAAAAAAACCCTCCGGCGAAAAACAACTTACGCGACAATCTTGTCAATCGTGGAAAGTTGCTCAAGCGCAGCAGTGGGGTGACAGACGCGGACAAGACGCGTTTTCCAGCTTGCACTCGCGTCAAGCCCGAGGTGGTCCGGGCGCAAAAGCAGAAGCATGCACGCGTTTGAAGCCTTCATGTCACTCAACTCCCTGCCATTATCATATTACACACGGAAAACGGCGTGAGCCCATGAAGCCTGCATGAAGGATATAACCGACTAACCAGATGCATAACGCGACCAGATTGGAAACGCGACTAGCCCGCAGGTTAGCACTGTGTACTCACTCGGACCAGAGGCAGAACGCGACCAATCTGCTTTCAAGCATTCCGTCAAACGCCACGTGCGCGGCCTCTGCACCCGCGACGATGTCCGCGACAACATTGGATGGAACCACTTGGATCGACCCCTGCAGCGACTGAGACACGCACTTCCTGACAACCACGCTGTACGGGGGATTAAAGAACACATTGCCATACACTTAACGCGTATATGTTTCGTCGTCGCGAACGATAAAGGTAGGTTCACAGCATCTACTTAGAACGAGGAGTGCAGCTAAACAACGTATGAATCAAGCAACCAAGATACGCGAACGATTTACCAGGGTTTAGAACCACACAAAACAAAACGCGACAAAACACATAATAAAGTATTGAACAAGCCGTCCGTCCTAAATTGAAACAGGACATTCTCACCAGGTGAGGAAGTCAAAGCAGGTCGCGGTGAAGGGATGCGTATCATCGGCGAAGCACTTCCTCTGCTCGGGGGGGAGCTCCACAGTTGCGCGAGCAATCGAGATCGTCGCGGTGTAAGAAGCGCCCTGGTCTCCACTGTTCAACAGCGCCTTCAATTCGCGAGCCATGGCCGGGGCAGAATGCGTGCACTAACCAGCTGCGCGGACGGGCCGGGCCTACACTAGCACGAGAACAGCAAGGGTTCACACTACAAGTGCTAACGCGAATGCGAACCACACACACACTAGAGACAGAGCTTGTTCGCAGCGAGGATGTCAGAGTTATATGACATAGCTACTGTAGGCTATAGTGGGGTAGCACATATGGGGTACAGTTGCCTAGGGTTTGCCTTTTGTACCCAACTTTCACTTAGTCATTTCATTCCTGTTTTCTTGATTCACATGGTATAGAGCGGGTTCCTACATGGGACCGTTCCTTCCTAAGGGCCCACCATAAGAAATTTTTTTTTAGCGGCCCCTACGCTGCCCCTACGCGGCCCCTACGCCGCCTCCCACGCGCCCCCTATGCGGCCCCTGGCGGCGCCCTGACGAGGCCCCTGCCGGCGCCCTATCGCGGCCCCTGACGCGCCCCCTGGTGGCGCCCTGACGCGGCCCTGACGCAGCCTGACGCGGCCCCTGGCGGCGCCCTGACGCGGCCCTGCCGCGGCCCCTGATGCGGCCCTGACGCGGCCTGCCGCGGCCCCTGCCGCGGCCCTGAAGCGGCCCCTGACGCGGCCCTGACGCGGCTCTGCCGCGGCCCTGACGCGGCCCTGACGCGGCCCTGCCGTGGCCCCTGGCGGCGCCCTGACGCGGCCCCTGACGCGGCCCCTGACGCGGCCCCTGTCGCGGCCCCTGACGCGGCCCCGCCACCTACCTTTCCGGCCACGCCGCCTCCTCTCAGCGGCCCCGCCGCCTCCTCCCAGCGGCCCCGGACGCCGCCCTCTCAGCGGCCCCGCCGAGCCGCCCAGCAGCCTAGCAGCCCAGCAGCTGAGCCACCGAGCCGCCCAGCAGCCGAGCCGCCGAGCCGCCCAGCAGCCGAGCCGCCCAGCAGCAGAGCCGCCGAGCCGCCCAGCAGCCGAGCCGCTGAGCCGCCCAGCCGCCGAGCCGCCCAGCAGCCGAGCCGCCCAGCAGCCGAGTCGCCGAGCCGCCCTGCAGCCGAGCCGCCCGAGCCGCCCTGTCCGGTAAGAGCAGCGCCTCTCTCACAGCACTGCCCTCACCCCACTGTTTGCGCTGCTAGTCTACTGCTGTCATGGCTACCCCTAGTGTCCTCGCTTTTGACGCTGAGGGTCGGGCCATTGACTTTGACGTCTGGATAGATGACCTGCAGCTTTTCTTACAGTGCGATAGGGCAGACGGCCTCTCCCTCTTTGACCTCACTTCTGGTGCCTCTCCTGCCCCCGCCACTGATGCTGACGCAACTGTTCGCTCCCAGTGGGCCACGCGCGATGCTGCTGCACGTCTTGCTGTGCGTCGCCACCTGCCTACCTCTGAGCGTGCGCACTTTAGCCAGTACAAGAGTGCTCAGACCTTGTACGACGCTGTAGTTGCACGCTACTCCTCCCCTGCCACTGCTGCACTGAGCCGCCTCATGCTACCGTACCTCTTCCCTGACCTTACTGCCTTTCCCACAGTCGCTGACCTCATTACGCACCTCCGCTCTAGTGACACTCGCTACCGCGCTGCGCTTCCTGCTGAGTTCTGCGCCAAGAACCCCCCCCCCATGTACATCACCCTCTACTACATAGTCACCCGGCTCCCTGACTCCCTTCGCGTAGTCAGGGACCACTTCCTCTCAGTTTGCCCCACCACTCTCACCGTTGACCTCCTCGAGAAGTCCCTCCTAGCAGCAGAGAAGAGCATAGTAGCTGTAGGAGCCTCTCGTGGTGACCCTCGCACCCCCATCTTTGAGGGGTGTTCCCCCTCCCCCCTTTTGCCCTCTGTTGCCTCTGCTGCTGCGGCCGACCTCGTTGGGCTTGAGTCGGTCGGTGCGGCGTCTACCCCTAGCGGGAGACGCCGCCCTGGCAAGGGCAAGGGGGGCAGGGGCGCTGGAGGAGCTAGCGGGGGCGGTGGAGGCGGCAGTGGAGGCGGTGGAGGAGGTGGGGGTGGCGGTGGGGGTGGTGGCGGGGGTGGAGGTGTCGGTGGCGGCAGTGGAGGCGGAGGCGGCAGCGGCAGTGGCGGAGGGAGCGGAGGTGGCGGCGGTGGAGGAGGAGGCGGCGGAGGAGGTGGAGCTGGTCGGGGTGGCGCTGCGCAGAGGGTCGGCTCCGGTGGTGGTCAGCGCCAGCAGCAGCAGCAGCACCAGCAGCGCACTCGTGACATCCCCTCCCCTCAGCAGCTCCGTGAGTGGTACACTGCACGCCAGAGGGGTGGGGGTACTGGTCCGTGCACCTACGTCCTCCGCACCGGCGACCGCGCGGGTGAGCAGTGCGGGGGTGCGCACTCCACCCAGCGCTGCTTTGGCCACCTGACGGACGCTTGGCGTCACCAGTTCCCTGAGGCCACTGAGATCCCCCGCTGGGGTGAGCTGTCTAGGGCAGGTGTGGCTGTCTTTGACCTTGACTTTGATGCTATTCTTGCTGCCATGTATACTGTGACTATTAGTGATGAGGGTGACTGTTACCGGTGTTTTCCGCCCGACCCGGGCATTGAGACTGCTGCTCTAGGTACTGGTGAGGCTGCTGCTCTAGGTGCTAGCGAGGCTGCTGCTCTAGGTGCGTCTGCTCCCTCAGGTGCTGGTGAGTCTGCTCTCTCAGGTTCTGCGTCGGCTTCGGCCTCCCACACCTTCACACTTGACTCGGGGGCTTCTCGCTCCTTCTTTCGAGACCGCACCACACTCACGCCGCTTAGCCGGCCAGTTGCAGTCTCTCTGGCAGACCCCTCTGGGGGTCCTGTCCTTGCTCACTTCTCCACTGTCCTCCCGTGTCCGACGGCCCCCTCTGGCACCCTGTCTGGTCTTTACCTTCCCTCGTTCTCTACGAACTTGGTGAGTGGTGCTGACCTACAGGATGCGGGGGTTCACCAGTTCACTCCTGCGAGTCGGCGGGTGACCCACTGCACGGACGCTCGGACAGGCCGACACCTGGCCACGTTTACCCGTCGGCCGGGGTCGAGCCTGTACACCCTGACCACTGCGTCTCCTCCAGTCACTGCGTCTGGTCAGGTAGCTGCGTCGGGTCAGGTGTTTGCTGCAGCGTCCAGGTCTGGTCCTGAGTCTGCCCCCTGTTCGTGTCGCCTCCTGTCTCACGAGACTCTCCTCTGGCACCACCGCCTTGGTCACCCCTCCCTGCTTCGTCTCCGAAGCATGGCCTCCCGTGTCCTTGTCTCTGGTCTTCCCCGGTCCCTCCCTCCCCTTCCTCCGGGGCCTGGCCCTACCTGCGTCCCCTGTGTCGAGGGGCGGCAGCGGGCTGCCCCTCACTCCT